GTATCCCCTTTGAAACAAAACTGCTTTAATTTTCTTCAACATGTTTAGGACTCCAGCGTTACTGAGTATGGAAACACATCCTTCAAACAGTGTGGTCTTAGCACACAAGCTACATTTCCTTATCAGTCAATAATTCATGTGCGCAACGTGAAAAAGACAGCTAAATACAGAAGGTGGGCTAACTCACGAAATGTTAACTGAAATTCCGAAATGCGTTTTCGTTTCAAAAAGACTAATCAGGTAGAGTTGTAAAACTAGTCAGCCTGCAACATAATTCTATAATATTTAGGTGACCTCAGAATGCCGGCTTGTGACTGAACTTCCTTTCGGCTGAATGCAAAAACGACACTCCGTAAAACATGGCTACTTATGTAGCATGAATTTTTCCTGTTCATTTTCGATTATTTTAAAGGTTCAATTATATTTCATGGAAGACATACATAAAAATATTTATTCTTTTCTTTATTTGGTAGATAATTACGTCTTCTTCCCATTTTGTACTTGAAGGAATAGTATAATTCGGTTTGCAAATCTTTTCCAATTCCCGAATACTTTTGAACCCGCTCTACCGTTACAATTGGATACAGGGTTTCAAAACTACAAGCCGTATATTTTCCGCATACGGTAAACCATACATTTCTCTATGGTACTAAATGGGCACTATATAGAATTCATAAAATTAAGCAGTGGATTTGATCCATATTGCTAACTTTACAAGCCACATTGGTAAATGCAGAGACATGCCGATTTCTGAACGGCCATTTCACGGTATTTAAAAGTCTCACAATTAGAAACTTTTTAAAGCCGAATTATGTCCCTCCTTCGAGTATAAATCTAGAAGAAGACATGATTATCTACCGAATGAGCGAAAGAACGAATAGATTTATGCATGTTTTCCATGAAATATAATTGGACATTTGGGCATCGAAAATCAATGAGAAAAATTCATGCTACATAAATTGTCGTTTTTTCAGAGTGTGCTTTTCGCTTGCAGCCGGAAAGGAGTTCCCTCAAAATCTGGCATCCGGAGGTAACTGAATTATTATACAATTATACCGCAAACTGATTAGTTTTACAACCCTACTTAATTAATCTTTCCGAAACGAAAACACATTTCGCAATTTTGGTTGACATTTCATGAGTTTGCCCACATACTGTACATGTACAGATATCAAAAACAGTCAAAGTCGTTTGGCCCCCCATAGATATGTATGCACTAATAACGTTAAAGAATGTATTTAGATAGCAATGAATGTTTCATCCGGGTCACATGGTTTTGGAAAAATTGACTAAACAATCGGTTTAGGCCTGAGTGCTCTACACAGAGGTATAATTTCAAACTGCAACGTCCTGGAAACCGCGACTGACGAGCTGGCTGCCTCGCAGCGAGTGAGAAGCCGATAACAGTAATGCAATATTGCACAGAATGTGGCCTGCATTCAAGACGTCACCGAGGTCGCAGAATTCATTCTGCGAAATTTGGATATCGCCACGGCACGCTTACCTGTGTCTACTATCCAAGGCCACATTGTGCGAAGCATGCACTGATCAACTGCAGGAGAACATTTCAGTGGTTGCCAGTAGATGACACCAGACCGAACCGACACGCCACTTTGCAATTTAAACTGTTCATTTCCTAACCTCGCTGAAGACAGTCGTCAAAGCTGGTCTCACAGGAATTCACTAATCCTCACGCTTATTAAACAAAATTTTCAGGTTGCTCTCTTTTGGCCATTTGAGCTAAAACGCATTATTTTGTAAAACATGTCGTGTTTTGTTTATATAAATTTGGTTAAGCGAGGCAGTAAGTCAAATTTGCCCGACGGATTAGGCCTAGGAGAGCATTTGAGAGTTGCGAAAATTCTCATAGCAGTAATCAGGAGACGAGGTGGCGAGCATACGTAGCTTTCGGTAAATTCTCTTTGAGCCAGAAGTAGAAGTGATAAGATAATTCGATTAAAGTTCGCCTTAGAACAGGCTGGGTGTGGGAATGTGGAGAAGGGGGGGGGGGTAATAGCACTCAGTGTCATGGCCGGGGTTAGAGCGGAAGGGCGCGGAGATCTGCAGCGTTAGTCGACCTTCGACCACTGTAGGCGCGGAGCCTGAACGTGGTTCTTCTGTGCGCGCAACATTGGTTCTTCGAAACCTAATGGTGGCCGTTTCTACTTTACCAACAGGCGCTGACCCAATAGCTTAGGGTAGCTCGATGGAACCCTATATATCACACGAAAAGCTTCGCTGAGATTCAAAAGATGCCCCGAACCATCAACAGGCACGAGAATGACGCCGCTTATGCCCCTAGTTTTGCCTTTTCCCAGCCATGCTGGGAGGTGTTCCCGTATTCTCCTGGATAAGCGCCGACTCGTGCGACCAATATAACCTGCTCCACAGGAGCAAGTGAAGGAATAGATGCACATTGAGATGGTCTGCGGTGGCAACTTATCCTTACCTTCTACGTGTAAAATAGGGTTAATAGAGAATGATGTTTGAACCCTTGCTGCTGGGAAGGTTCGCGAGACAGCTTGATCAACGCGTCTTGTTATGAGTTCACTCGCAGCGTCCCCCTGGAAAGCGGCTTTGAGCATCAAAGTATTCCTTTCGGCAGTCGGTGTGGCGGGGTTGATCGGTCGTTCGGTAATGTTCTTTGCAATAAACCTGTCAAGATACCCGTCTTTGCGAAGGAAGTCCTGGATTTTTCTGAGCTCCTCCTCGATGCTATCTGTTGAGCAAATTTTTCTAGCTCTTTACGTCAAACATCTGATAAGAATTTGTTTTTGTTGGATGGTTACGAAACTGGAAAAGTTCGCATATTGTTCAGACCAGGTTTTCTTCCGATATAAGCTTCTTCGGACACTCCCGTCAGGTCTCCTGCTTGGAAGAACATCTAAGAAAGGAAGCAAACGGGCCGTTTCGAGCTCCAGCGTGAATTTGATCGACGGATGTGCCTGCTTTGCAGCGGCAACCTTATACTAACCCTCCGCATTATGAATGGCCTGAAATATTGCTTAGTTTCCAGTGATGATTTCACTTAAGCTAGCAGGCCCACTCTACGCGGTCACACTTGAAAATATGCGCAGGTAAAGCACGGATCAATGGACGAAAGTTTTTTTTCAGTAACGGAGTGGTTGCAGCGTGGAACGCCCTGCCGACTGATGTTGCACTCTCCTCATGTGTGGTTTCGTTTAAGTGTATACTCGAGGCGTATCAAACTTCCCAATTACCAGCCACGCACGCACTCACATAACCAGTTACCTGACACGAATATTCTATACTACTTGCAATGGGTGAGTAGGCGTTCATTTTTACCCTTTTACTACTTGCACACAGCCGCCTGCTTTTCACACGCAATAATCTGCATAATCTCTTCCTCAAATTTCTACTTATCAGTGCTTTTCTCAGACAATTTGCAACCAGTGGCGAGTTAAAAGGCGTTCACCCATGTTTTCCCCAGTATAAACGAAGTGAACTGAAACAGGATATCAGTGAGCAGTCTACGTATGCTAAAACGGGAAATTTGCAAACATCCGCAGTGTGACTTCTAGTTATCCAGAAAAGTACAAAAATAAAAAACTTTGCCAGTTACCTTGACTTGGTGG